GGGAGATGGGGACAGGGGCAGCTGTGGGAACGGGGATGGAAAGTGGGGCAGGGGACAGGCAGGGACAGGGTCCCAGGGGTAAGGGGCTGGGGCAGGGGCAGGGGGCCAGGGAGAGGGGACAGGGACAGGGCAGAGGCACCAGGGACACTGAGCTCACCCCCCCTCCGCCGGTTCATCTACGGTGGCCCTCGCTCCCCAGGGAGAGGGGACATCCTGAGCGGGTGACCCCAGCCAGGGGAGGTCCTGACCAGGAGATGGGGTCCCTGCAGAGGTCCCACACCCCAGCCCTGGCACCCGCAGACTGACTCCGGAGGGAGTCCCGAGCAGGGGAAGGTTCCCCCGTTCCCACTGTCCCCTCCCAGGAGTGCGGTGTGTGACCTGTGGAGCTGTGCATGTCCCTTGGAGCCATGGCTGTCCTCTGGAGCTGTGGATGTCCTACGGACCCATGGATGTCCTGTGAAGCCATCCGGGTCCCGTGGAGCCATGGATGGAGAGATATGTCCCATTGAGGCACCTGTGTCCCACGGCCCTGTGGACGTCCCACAGAACCCTACATGTCCCTTGGAGCTGTGGGTGGCCATTGGTGTCCCACAGAGCCTTGTGTCCCCCATGGATCCACAGACGGCTCATGGAGCCATCTGTGTCCCGTGGACCTATGGGTGTCCCAAGGTACGTCCCATGGAGTCATGCGTGTCCCTGGGAGCTGTGGCTATCCCCTGGAGCCATGGATGTCCCCTGGAGCCATCCATGTCCCATGGAGCCATACGTGTCCCATGGAGCCATACATGTCCCTTGCAGCTGTAGATGTCTCATGAAGCCACCCACATCCCATGAACCTGTGGCTGTTCCACAGACCCTCCCTCAATGCAGGTCCCACGTTCATGTCCCCTCCGCGGGGCAGCGCTCGTGGTAGCAGCTCCCCAGGCTCCCACTTTGGGCTCCACCAAAGCCACACAGAAGCCCACATCAGTGGCCACCAGCCCCGGAGCCAGACAGGCTTCCAGGCTGCTGCTTATGGCACAACCGAACCCACGGCAATAGGGATGCTTTGCTGTGCGGTTAAACCGGCTCTGGTTGCCCATCGTGGGTGGAGGGGCCCTGCCCACCCTGAGATTAAACCCCCGCGGTTGCAACATGGTTAGGGACACAGGGGACACTGGGGACACACCCAGACCCATCCCAGACCTGTCCTGCGGGCATCCAGCAGCTGTGGGAGCTGGGATGTCAAGACACCGAGTCCCCGTCCCTGGTGTGGCCGCTGCCTGAAGCAGGTCAGTGCCAGGGCCTGTGGCAGCTGATCCCTTCCAGCAAATCCACCCGCTGGCACATGTGCCAGGCACACGTGGCACACGGCGGGTCTGCCTGGCACCTGCTGGAACGGGGATGGTTGAGGGGTGTCAGGTGGGGGGGGGGCAGTTGGATTTTGGGGTACTTGGGTGTTGGCATGTGCCCACATTGCCCAGGCATGTGCCACACATGGGGGGTGCCCATGTGTGCAGGGCTACACGTGTCCCTGTGCACCCAGGGCTGTATCCCCGAGGGCACGTGTGTCCCTGCAGCCCCGTGGTACCCCCACGTGCCCCTGCACCCACAGGGAAGCAGGGCCATGTGGGGCGTGTCCCCATGCTGTCCCTGTCCCTCTCCTAGTGCCAGTCCCAGTCTCAGTGCCAGTGCCTGTCCCTGTCCTGCTGCCATTGCTGGTCCCAGTGCCTGTTCCTGTCCTTGTTCCCATCCCCATCCCTGTCCCTGTCCCTGTCCCACTGCCTGGCCCAGTCCTGGCCCTTGTCCCTGTCTTGGCCCTTGTCCTCTCTCCCTGTCCCCTCTCCATGTCCCTGTCCCCTCTCCCCATCCTCTCTCTCTGTCCCTGTCCCTCTCTCTGTCCCCTGTCCCTGTCCCCTCTCCCTCTCCCCGTCCTCTCTCCCTGTCCCTGTCCCTCTCCCTGTCCTCTCTCCCTGTCCCCTCTCCCTCTCTCTCTCCCTCTCCCCTGTCCCTGTCCCCATCCCCTGTCCTCTCCCCCCTCCCTCTCCCTGTCCCCTGTCCCTGTCCCCTCTCCCTCTCCCCGTCCTCTCTCCTGGTCCCTCTCCCTGTACCCTCTCCCCGTCCTCTCTCCCTGTCCCCGTCCCTCTCCCTGTCCTCTCTCCCTGTCCCCTCTCCCTCTCTCTCTCCCTCTCCCCTG